TTTGTGTGTGAAGGGTGGGAAGAAAGGAAATGAACAAGGATGTTCTTGTTACTTGGCTTTCGATACCACTTTGTCAGGTAACCGCTACTTGATAGGTTTATTTGGACGTCCAAAAAAGGAAGCCAGTTTTCTCTCGGTTTCTCCCGGGTGAACTTTATGTACTCGGACTGCTCGTTTAATAATTCGAAGCATTTGTCCATCTCCTCCTGCGTAGAGAAGACGACAAAACAATCATCTACATATCTGCAGTAGAGTAGTGGCCGGAGATCGAGAACAGGGGCTTCTATCTTAGACATAAACACAATGGCCAGGCTTGGTGCCAATCGCTGTCCCATTGCCAACCCCCTTATTTGCGCGAAATATTTCCCAGACCATCTGAAGATCGAGCAGTTTAGGCACTCCTTTAAGAGAGCCATTAGCTGCTGGATGGACAAGCCATGCATATTTATTCTTCCTTCATGTTCAACAAGAAGTTCGAAGATGGCTTGCATTGCGGAGTCACGTTGGTGTACAGTGCGGTAACGTCGAAAGACTCCATCACGTACGCGTTATTGGGAGACGCGTTACGTAGACGTTCTAGGAACATTTGGGTGTTTGTGAGGTGAGCTGGAATGTGGTTAAGCAATTGGAAAAGTATCAGGCTTAAAAGCCAGGTTATTCTATCCGTTGGCCCGTCTACACAGCTGATGATCGGTCTAACCTTAAATGATGACGGATTGGTTGACGCATGATCATCAGGTGATACCAACTTATGTGTTTTAATAAGTAGGTATAGGACGGGACATGTTGGTCTATCGATTTTAAAGTGCGAAATAACCGATGATTTTAAACCCGCAGCCTTTGCCACGCTGACCCATTGATTGTTTAGTTTTCGGTATTGACTTTTATATTCCTTTTCAGAGGATGGGTGATAGAGAGTAGCATCACTAAGATGTTCCTCTGTTATCTCAACATCCAGCTGGCGAGGGATTTTGAAGTAAAAGTCAATATCCTTGCACAGGAGTCCAAAACACCAGCGCGAAAACTCCTAGAGGCTTTTTGGATCAATGCCAAAACCCTACAATGAATAGCAGGGACGAATGCCCGGTGGTCATACGCGACCTGATCCCGTACGTCGCATCGATTTTTGATGTGGGATGGTGCAGTAGTCAACCACATGCGACTATAATCAGCTGTTCTTAGCTTCCTCATTGGAAGTCACGAAAAAGCGGTGGGTTTTTTCGAGAAGTTGTTGATCATGTAATTAGCAAAGAGTCTTTCGTCTTTGTGTGACTGTTATTGAAGCGTTTGGCCTAGTAGATTGTATATCAGTATACCCTTCCAGGCTCTGAAGAAGGCGATACTGCCGAAACATCAGCTAGCGTTGTATTGTATTGTGTTTTTATGGAAGTAAATGTATGCTGTTTAAAAACCTCGCGATGTATTNTTCGTCTTTGTGTAAGTGTTATTGAAGCGTTTGGCCTAGTAGATTGTATATCAGTATACCCTTCCAGGCTCTGAAGAAGGCGATACTGCCGAAACATCAGCTAGCGTTGTATTGTATTGTGTTTTTATGGAAGTAAATGTATGCTGTTTAAAAACCTCGCGATGTATTCTTTCTTTGATGAGCTTACACGAGGTTGATAACGATGTTTATTTTCGGCTAACGTTTCGACGTCTTCGTCTTCCTCAGAGCCGATGATCCCAGTTGATGGTCCTCGCTTATTATTCGTCTCGACGTGTAAGCTCATCGTCTTCGTGTCGAGTCAGGTCTTTTTCAGTGAGCCATCTCCTCGAATGAGGCAATGAGGCAATGAGGCAAAGGGCACCACTGAGTAAGGATGCCTCATTCGAGGAGATGGCTCACTGAAGAAGACCTGACTCGACACGAAGGCGAAGCTGCCACGTCGAGACTAATAACAAGCGAGGACCATCGACTCGGATCATCGGCTCTGAGGAAGACGAAGACGTCGAAACGTTAGCCGAAAATAAACATCATTATCAACCTCGTATAAGCTCGTCAAAGAAAGAATACATATTGATTAGTGATACCGAGGTTCAAGGAAAGTCGGTTTCGAAATATTTCTAAAGAATTCTGAGCAGCTAAACTCTATTAAAGACTTTTGTAAGGTATGAATTTCTGAAGGTAAAAAAATGGAAATGTGATTACAGTAGCTTACCAGTAGAAATTACTAACACTTCATAGACACGTTGCTACTATAGAAGAAAGGAAGTATAGAACCATACCCATTTTCTAAAATAAATAATTTTTTATAAGCTATGAATACATCACGAATGACGAAAACTCAACCATTTTCCGGAAGTTGTTTGGCAGAAAAATTAGGACTCATGCAAACAAAACTGCTGCGGAAAATCTTATGAGAGTGCTTGAAGTAGAGTGAGCAATTCCTTCATGCTCTTGAAAGATGATGAGGAGGGGATTCAATAGAACCTGCCCGAATTAATGGATAATGGAAAGAATTAGAGGAGGTACAAGACTGATGTAACATCGTTTATACTAAAGCACAATTCCTATCACCTCTATCACCTGTAGTCTCGTTGGTCGTCAAGTGATTCGAGTGAGCGCCAGTAAATCTTCCATTTTTCCCTGTCGCGTGCAAGAGTAGCCCAGTGGCTTCTGCTCGCTCTAGGGATTTCTCGAGCATCATAACTTCTTCAAGGCTTTTTGTGAAGAACTCTGCGCATCGGGTCGGTGGTCTTCCTGCAGAGCGTTCAACATCCGAGGAATCCAGTCACTAGCAGCTCTTGTCTATCGGTTGTCATTCATAATCGACGTGTTTGGTCGACCTTATTTTCGACTGTTTCGCGTACAGAACGGCATATTTAATTTTTGATCGTTGATGCAGATCGGAGCATCGGATTCCATCCTTTACTTGTGTGGAACGGGATACTCCTAGCATTATCCTTTCGACTGCGCGTACGATAAAGCTGAGTGATCATTCATCCTGCTTACGCAGCGATCAGGTTTCTGACGCGTGCGTTAGGGCAGGAAGTACCGTTGAGTCGAAAAGGTGGGCACGGAGTACGGTGGTCTTTGTTCGCTTCACTGCATACTCGATGCTCTTGAAAGCTCCTCAAGCCGCTCATTTCCTTCTGCTCAGCTTTGGAGCTAAGTCGTTCATCATATTGATTTCCTGACCTAGATAGATATAACTGGAGCAATCAGAGAAATACGTTCCGTTGAGCGTGAATGGGGCATGCGAAACCAACCCGTTTTTCATGAACACCTTTTTCGTGAGATTTAGTCGAAGACCAATCTTTTCAAGGGCTTTATCAAAGTCGTCAAGCATACGCTCCGCTTGGCTAATATTTGGTGTTTATAAGGATGATGTTATCAGCAAAGTGAAGATGGTGTGACTGCTGACCATCGATTTTCACTCTCATATTATCCCATTCCAGTGTTCGCATGAGGTTCTGGAGCGTGGCTATAAATAATTTCGGCGAGATGGTATCGCCTTGCCTAACTCCTCTTTTGACGTCAATGTTAATATCGTTGTAGAATGGTAATATCTTGGTTGTGAAATTTTTGTACAGGTCGCAAAAAATCTTTATGTACTGAGTAGGGATTCCTTGACTATCCTTGACTGCTTCCAAGACTGCTTCTATCTCAACTGAGTCAAAGGCCTTCTGTAATTCAATGAAAGTGAGACAGAGCGGTCTTTTGTACTCTCGCGATACTTCAATGAGCCTTGTTATCGTGTGGATATGGTCCATCGTACTAAACCCTCTTCGAAACCCTGCTTGTTCACATGGCTGTCATTCGTTTAGTGTTCTGTCAATACTGTTTAGGATGACTCGAGTGAAAAGTTTGTAGACGACAGACAGTAAGCAGATTGGGCGATAGTTGCCGATATCATGCAGGTCACCCTTCTTGAACAATAACACAGTCTTGCTGGTCTTCCACTGAGTAGGGACCTTGTATCCAGACAGGTAATGTGTGAAGAGCTGAGTCGCCAAGCCAGTGTGTTTACGAGGACTGGCAGATGATTTTTCAGGTGTTCTTGTCTTGTCCTGTCAGCAGCTGGTGCTGTTCGACTTTTCACCGACGAAATGGCATGTCGGATTTCGGAGGGAAGAACCGGTGGTACAACATGTCTATACTCCTTTATTTCATGTAACCGAAGGTGTACGTGGCTATCGAAAAGATCTGAGTCGTATTCGTGAATGATTTTCTCCATTGCCTTTCTGGACGCTGTGACTGCTCCGTCTGGGCGCCGGCTAGCATTCACTTTGGTCTTATAACTGGCAAAGCTTCGGTGGGCTTTGCCAATGCTTTTCCCAGCCTCTGTAGCCCCAAGTTTTTCAGCTTTAACCATTACTGCTGCTCCTCTCCCTTTAAGATCTTCTTTTATCGCCTATCTGCATTGTTTTACAAGTTCGGACTATAGTTCGCGGTTGCCTGCAGCTCGTGCGATTCCAAGCTGGCGTATCACCACGAGAGTTCCTGAAGACAGATGCCTTTTGGTGACTTTCGAACTCTCAGCTTTCATAGCGCCAACATTAAGGTGTTGAATGAGCCGATCGTATTCTTCGTCGATGTTATCGACAACGGCATCTTCCCAACAGTCGATTAATGAATTGAATAAGTCCCAGCTTGCGGTGGTTCTGGGACTTCGGTTTTGGAATTTAGCGGCTTTTTCTCATTTCCGCGAGAAATAGAAACTTTCATGAAGGAGACGATGGTCTGATCCCGTGTAGAATTTTGGAACAGCAGCGACATCGGTTAGGCAAAACTTTCTATTCACTATGAGGTGGTCTATTTCGTTATGGAACTCCCCATTGGGAGACTCCCAGGTCCAGTGCTGAGGGTGGGGCTTCTGGAATTGCGAGTTACCATGGATGGTCTTGGTCGCTATGATAAACTCAAACAGCCGCTCATCCTTTCCGTTCAATTCTAATCCGTGGGTCCCAATGTGACGTTCCCCTCAGACGTTCTTCTTGGTCCAATCTTGGCGTTGAAATCTGCAATGATGACCTTAAAGAATGCGTGGTTTTCTCTGTAGAACTTCTCCAAGTCCATATAGAACGCTTCGACTTCTTCTTTCGTCATAGTTTGTTGTCGGCGCGTAAATGACGAAGATTATCAAAACCGGAATTGGTCCAAGTCTTTTCAATCGTAATCGTTCGACTCGGATTGTAAGTTGTTCGAATGGATCGATGTTCACGGACAAACTCGTGTTGATGAGAACGCCGGCGTCACCGACTCCTCTACTGCCGCACGTTCCAAGGAACAGTTCTTCTCCGGTGTCATAGACGGCGGTGAAAGGCTGGCGTCTTCTCGTCTCGGCCAGGCCGATGACGTCGTACTTTATCCTTCTTGCTTCCATGAGTAAGTTTTCTATCGAGGACCCGGATGCAAGTGCATTGTAGGTATCGTCACCATAGTTCTTTGAAATCCAGGCGGCTTCCATGGGCCCTGAGATTTTAGCATCCTCACCGTACTTGTCCTACCCAACGCTGCGAAATAGAGGGCTCTTTCAGGACCGCTTTTTTTACTGTGTTTAGCATGGAGCTTATTTTTGGAGACGACTCCTAACCGCCTCCCATATACTTCACAGTCACTTGATTGCAGGCTTTTGGCCGAATTGACTCGTAGAATACAATCCGTATAAGCAAGAACGCACCCACGCACGCATGCATGAATACGTCTAGCAAATACAGAAAGCATGTGCCAAATCAGCGCAGCAGAAACAGAGTGTCTATCTCCTGGATCCACCTGCGTCTCAGGGAAGCAAAGGCCGCTTTTGGTCCGCGATTAACCTCTATTCGCCACTTGGGGACCGCCACGCAGCCTCGCGACTAACCGGCGCGAGATCCCTCTTATGAGGGAGATCCGTGGATTCAGGTGGAAAACACAATTCCAGATAGATTAATTAGATAAGACGAATAGTGGTTTTCATATTTAACGTGTTGTGGCTCTGGTAAGCAGGTGACGAGGAATCAGCATTTATAGTGCATAAAGGGATAAAAATGATGAAGCTCTCGGCGTTGATCAACCTTTGAGAAATGTGCCTTGCATTCGACTGAATGCATTTCCGGCCTTGACAATAACTCACGCCGGTCTACCGATGTATCGGGCCAGTGCTGCTATCTTCCCAGACAAGTCTGCTACTTATTTACCGATCCGAGTGGGACGGAATTGGTGAGCCACGGGTACTGGGATCGGTCCCTTGTGTGTGTGTGTGTGTGTGTGTGTGTGCCACTTTATCGAAAAGTGAAATGAAATGTAATCTAAACTTGAGTGCTCATCCTAGACATTTTCATCGAAACTGAAAAACAGTTCAACAGTTCTGTTCGAGAGCACAAGAAACAGTACACATTTGTATGAACCATGCATAAGAATGAAACCAAATCACACGGACGAAGGATCCTTAACGTCTATATAAGATCGATGGAAGACAGTTTGTGCTGACCACATTACAACCTTTTAGCAGGCTATCAAAGCATTTGTCAAACAGAAATTATGTTGGATTAAGCTCTATTCGCGAAGAAAACCTACCCAAGTATTCAGGTTACAAAATGTTGTTTCCAAAAATTTCTATGAAGGAGCAATTTTCCGTAATACACCATTTGCGAATACTCCATGAAGTTCGAAATAATAAGGAAGAGCGAAACATCTTTAATGATTCAAGTTTGTGAAAATCTAGCAAAACGAGACCGACTCGACGGAAAAATGGAAGCAACTGTTTCAGTCTCTCATCTTCTCAGCATGAGGCAGTTGCAGAACAACAACATCGATCTTTAGATACACAATACGTATTTCACTCGTTAATTGTACACTACGTCCTTTATAAAGTAGCAGTAAAATAAACATCATAACGAGCTGCGAATTTGCACCAAGTTGATTTTTGAAAAAAACGAGAATGACTCAAAAGCCGAAGAGACGAATACCACACGATCACACATGACATAGCACTTTTCAAATTGATATTTCTGATCTGGGTGTTCTTTCGTCACCCACCTAAGCACCACTCTGGTGGCTCCACACGCAGCACCACGGTGAGTAGGTTTTGAACAAATTAGGATTTTATTTACTGTTACCTATTTTTTCATAAAAGAGTGCTATGCCAAATAAAACCACAATGATGCTGAGATATTCACCGCTTTCCTTCAACAAGCAAACTTGAGGTTAGTATTATAGAATTTATTACCATACAACAGCTGACGCTTCAGCGGTTTCGCCTTCTTCAGAGTCGTTTTATTCTTTGCAATTATTCCAACTCACTGGTGGAGAGCAACCGCACGGAGTCATACATGGGCGAGAATTAACAGCTGGTGGGGTGGATTGCAAATGAACCCCGGAAAGGGTAGTCGAGGAATCGAAATTGACAGAAGACTTATTCATTTGAAGGGAAACGATGGGAACACAAGGAAAGGACATAGATAACTGCATTTATCTTTCCCAATTCCTAATGGTCAATAAACCACTCTTATCAGCAAATAAAAACAAAGGAAATCTTCTGAGAAATGGGTTCCTATTGAAATAGGATTAAGAAATCGAAAAAGCCCATACTTTTCACTGACGTTGACCGTATTTTGAACCATGGTAATTCAAAACAGAAAAGAATTTATTATAAGTACAAGACATATATATGTATCCCTATATATATGTATATATGTATATATATGCATATATATATATATATATACCACGTTAACAGGCGTCTTACAAATCCAAGATTTTGTCGATCTTCTTTTTGCTGTTTTCAGTGTTTTTGAGTACACTACAGCTTAATGGAAACAAAAAAAAAATCGATGGGAACACAAGGAAAGGCCATAGATAATAGCGCCATAGACAGCGTCTATGGCGCTGTTCGAAAACGGAAGTGCTTCGTAAAAAGTCTAAATATGAGGAGGTCATAAAATGGACATTCATTAAGGCCATCGTCCTGTCACCGTAAGAAGGATTACGGTGCTACGTGAGGGAGAAAATTATGAAACTCTCGTCGCTGTTCTTTGTCGTGCACTTCGCTTTACCTGTCTCTCATCCGGCTTCCTGAGTTTTGCAAATTGGAGTTTACTTATATGTTAGATCTTTATTGATACTTTACATATATATATACATATATATATATATATAAATTTCACCAGGTTATAAGACCATCGTTCTTTCTGTGTTTTTATTTTGCTTTATAAAACCTTTCTTCAAATCTATTGTGCGGATCCCAGCATTTGTCACATTCGATTCGTTTCCTCGCGTCCATTATACACGTCATCTGGTCTTCCAACTATTACGTCTGGCTTCGGATCTGCTGAACGACTTCCATTTCGTCATGAAGGCCTCTGAATGTTGCTCGAACAGATTTTCCCTATCTTAGGTAAGATACTCGAGCTAGTGCGTTCCCGACTAGATTTCAGAGAGTAGTTTTTCTCGAAAAAGTCCGGTACCACTTTCCCGATCCTGAGGTGTAAGGGGCTTCGTGAGCAGAGTGTTTGATCGATCCATCACCGTGCTTGCGATGATAGGTATAACTACCAGTGTGCTACCCACCCCTTATAAGGGTATTGTTACATAAAATATGTCCAGGCTCCGAAGAAGGCGAAATCGCAGGAACGTCAGCCGTTGAATTATAGCGGCAACAAAAGCAACGACAACATATACGAAGCTCGCATCAGCTCAACAAGGTTTGTTCGTAAGAATAAATTTGGCAAAAATTCTTGAATAGTCATGCATCACTTATTAGAAGAGAACCAGTGTGACTCTTGCTCTGGGTAAACAAAGCTTGTTTACGAACAAATTGTATCACTTGGTAGCAGAAAAATATACAGGAAGCATTATGAGCTTATTCGTCGGCTAAGAACGATGTGAAACTATTCTACAGAATATACCCATCAACAAAGTCGGCTACATCTCATTTCGGTGAGATTGAACAGCAACAGTAGCTCCTTATTTTATCATTCAGAATGGCATGAAGTTGAGCTACCACTGGCCAATACCACAGGATCATGGAACCTATGTAAATATCTTGTGTAAATTAATATTTTAAGGGGGGAAAAATATTTTATTTTATTTGAATACGATTTCGACTTCAGAGCGAAGAAAGCCTGATACGAGTTTAAATGCCTGACTAGCGCTGATACGAGAAAGACACCGTAAACATTTTTATTACAACTCTTGAGATTTAGGAATGAACATCATGAAAGAAGTCAACCATAGGAAGGCTATGTTTCTATTTATTTCACAGTGCAATGTGTAATAACCTAAAAGGTCACATGCCACAGAATTCAAAAGCTTGCTTCCGATTATTCATTTATTGCTTTTTGTCCCATGAGCTTTCTCTTCGATGTCCTGTTCACTGAATGAATAACTTCTTTACCACAAATTTGGTGTTCGTTCTAGAAAGACTATTCACTTACAACAAACAGTGATTCTAACGAGTTTGTTCTTCGAAGAGGGTTTCGTATCGATTTATTACTTACTGGGTCACGAGCAAATTAACATAGTAAAAAAACATCTTTCCTCTGAAGCATTTCACCAAACGCTTTGCATCGACTGGGTTCAATGCTGTTTTAGTCTCTCCTGATCAATCCCGCTGACGGGTGATTCGGAGTTTTGCAAATATCTTAGCATCATTACGGTTGTACTTCACATAATACTCTGCCATGAAAAAATTGTAGCAGGCAGAAAATAGAAAGTTAGTATTGCATTGAATTCAAAGGCGCACAGAAAAAACGTCGCTGTTAATGCATCGAAGTCGCTTCATAACAGTAAAGTTTGTTAACCTTTTTATTTACTGCCTATTCTTTTTAATGGCAGGGTATGTTGCAAAATATAACTCGTATAATCCTGAGATATTTGCAAAAATCCGGAACGCAGGTGACTGCGGTAGGGAACGAACGCGCTATTGTTCTTTCCGGGGAATAATGCGTTCACCACCACACCATGCGGTTCCTTCCTTTCGCCTGTCTTTGAGCTAATTCTGTCGATCTTTGGCATCAGCAATCAGCCGTCAACGTCAAAATATCTCAGCATTATACGAGTTATGCTTCGCAACATATCCCGCCATTAAAAAGAATAGGCAGTAAATAAAAAGGTTAATAACGCGTAAAATAAAATAAAAATAACGTAACGCGTCTCCCAATAACGCGTACGTGATGGAGTCTTTCGACGTTACCGCACTGTACACCAACGTATCGAATGACTCCGCAATGCAAGCCATCTTCGAACTTCTTGTTGAACATGAAGGAAGAATAAATATGCATGGCTTGTCCATCCAGCAGCTAATGGCTCTCTTAAAGGAGTGCCTAAACTGCTCGATCTTCAGATGGTCTGGGAAATATTTCGCGCAAATAAGGGGGTTGGCAATGGGACAGCGATTGGCACCAAGCCTGGCCATTGTGTTTATGTCTAAGATAGAAGCCCCTGTTCTCGATCTCCGGCCACTACTCTACTGCAGATATGTAGATGATT